TGCAGCTAATGAGGTTGTTGTTAGCTGCCATAGAGTTGGCCCTGACTTATGAAGATGCATACACAAAAGAATTAAATGTTGCCTGGTCCTGCCACATCTCTATGGTAGGTTGGGGATAAGACCATTATGATTCATAGGATTTTAATTGGCTGATTTTTCAAAATGGATCACTAGGCCTTTCTCCCTCATCTATCTTAGTCTGGAAGCTCTGTTGAAACCTGTTTAGTATCATAGAACACATGAGCTAATAATAAAAATGTAAATGTTTGTCGAGAAAACTACATTTTGAATTCTAACCTTCCAAATGCAAGAGATTTGATGGATGGGTCAACAAGTCTATAAAAGCAAATATGCATTCAAGGAATTCAAATTAAGTCTACACTTTATATCTATTAGCACGAAGAAACAGGCTGGAAACAATATGTACTTTACTACGTAAATACATGATATATTTTCATCAATGAATCAAAGCACAAAATTTCAGTAGCTGACAACTCTTGCCACCCCTAAAATACATGCTTCCATTAGATGGCAGTGTAAGCTCAATTTAAATCTGAAATGGTTTACTCCCCTGCCATGGGAAGAGACAAGCATATGGACTTAGTGTATAGACATAAAATTAACAGGAATGTTCTTAATATGTCAGCATTCATGTTTACGTAGAAGAATGATTTGTAGTGATGACCTATGTAGCATAACAAAACAACAAAACTCATTTTGAGAAAAATTCTAACCACTCCACATACAGGGAGGTCTCATTGCAGTTGTGTTACTTTGTTTACACTGAAGAGAACATGTTTTCTTGATTTAGCAGACGGAAAGATGAAAAAGTGGGCGTCGTAGCACAGTAAAAGTAGGTTTTCATAGTTCTTTGGAGTGTGTGTGTGTATTATATTCAATTCTTTTAGCTTTAAAATTGTAGCAATTGTTTTCACTCTGGTGTATTAAGTATCATGAGTTTCCTTTAGTTTTGGAGGTTTAATTTTCTGTATTGGCACACTTTCTGGGCCTAGGCATTACATCACAGCCCAAAAACTTGTTTTTATAAAAATTTATAAGAACTATTTTCATGTTACTCTTCCTTGTTTTCAAAATATAATGGTAAAATTGTTCATCTTTTCCTTGTTAGAACACCAAACTGATTAGAAAATATCAGATTTCTATTGCCCATCAAAACTACATGAAAATAAAACAGGCATTAATGGTGTATCCATTGACTACTTCAGATAGCTATTCATAGTAATAAGTTCACAGAACAGCTTCAAATCATCTAAAAGCAGGAGCGAAACGCCAATAGTATTGCCACCACTCCTGTACAGGTACTATCTCTCACACATTATATAAATATTCTGTTATAGGGCAAGTGAATACTACCTTCAGGAAACAAAACCTAGTGAGGGCTTTCACTCAATCTGAAATTGTTTTTACTTTCTTTTTCAGTTGAAATAATTTATCTCCACTACATTTTAAACCATGCAAAGAACACATATTTGTGACAATCAACATGACAAAGCAAACAATCTTTTTCAAAAGTCAATTCTAGTCTCAATTCGAAGTGAAGTCATTTTTTTTTCAGAGCAATTACTGACATTTTTATAAGTATCAAGGCAGCATGTGCACAAAAACATCAGTTAAAAATTCAGAAAAATGAAGGGCTTTAGCACTCAACGGCGGCCAATAAATACCAGTTGTTAACTTGGTTGAAAGATGACAGCATGCATGCCTGGTACATTAATAAAATGTTTAAGTTCTGACTCATACAAAGAGCAACACAGAAATGATGCCCTGCTACTCTCCCTTGCTTTTCCATACTCAGATGATCTGGCCACAAACCCCCTGGCACCTCATTGTTCCACATTATACATTTAACTGTCAGCTGTAGAAAATTTCCATAAGCATTCTCATTGCAAGTAAAAGGAACTGATTCATCTTCCAAAGGCATTCCCACCACTTTCATCTGATGATTCATCAGGAGTTGCATGTTTTACTACAAGTGCTCATAATTCTTCAAGCTATCTCAATTAATACATTTTAACAAGCAAATATTAGTAAAATCCTCCTATTTCCCCTTTGATGGTATTTTTTAAAAAAATTAAATATAGGTCCTCTCCAACCTTTAAATCATAAAAGAAAATCCCTAATTACACTATCAAATAGAAATAAAAGACAAGCAGTAGGAAATACTCTCCGGGATTACAATCTGAACGCAACATCATTCTCTGCAGAGCAAAGCTTTTATCTGAAAAAAGTTAAATGAATCAGACAAATAAAACCCTCATCGATATTTTAACATCTGCCTTTTCTTTCTATTCCTTTTCCTTTCTCGAAATTAAGACTTCTCTATCTGAGGTCAAAGAATTCAATAAAATAAATGTTATTTTCCTGACAAGAACTTAAAAGTAAAAAGAACTGGGAAAGTATTTTTCTGGCCTTTTAAAAACATTTTCTTCTCTTGGTTTCTATACCTCATCCTATTTTCATCTCTCATTTTCTTATTTCCTGGTACTTCTATTTAGGTTTTCATATTGTCAGGAAAAATTGCAAAAAGACTTTAAAATGGATGATGACAAATGTCCTCTCGATGCATTGCTCACAGCTCACCGAGTCTCTAAGGATCTGTGCCTTTCCCAGAGAGAGCTCATGATGATGTGTGGGGGTCCTGTGCACAGACACACGTGTCAGATAAAGTGTTGCTTGCACATTAGGCAGGGACAGCGGGCTGGTCCTGCATCTGGCAGTGGTCTTTGCTAGCTGTGAGCCTGTTCTTTGGATTTTCCGTTGAAATGGGTTTTAATATGTTACTGGTTCCCTCAATTAGTTAATGAGCTGAATGAAACCTGTACTTATATTTGTATGAGAGCCACAATTTTATCCTTTTCCAAAAATTATCTTTAATACTTTAAAACAGTCCATGGCTGGGTGGAGACTCCTGAGACATAAGTAACAGCTCGATAGGAGTATTGTTTATTAATTTTATCCCAATTTCAGGCCTTCCTGAATTAATATACAAATATTATTTTAAGATTTGAAAATAACTTATTACCCTGAAACCTTTTATATATACCCTGATTTCAGGGTAATAAATTATTTTTGAATCTCTAAATAGTACTATGCTCATTAATTCAAGCTGAAATGGGGATAAGAGATCCTTTTCCTAAATGGTAGAGCCACAAAAGAAATCAGAGTAACAAGGATCAGCATATACCAAATATTCCTACAAGCCAGACACAGTTCCAGGTGCGTGCAAGCATTAACTCATTACATCCTCACAACACTATGAAACAGACCCATTTTGCATCTGAAGAAACTGAGGCAAAGAGAAATTAAATAATTTGTTCAATGGCATACTGCTAGCAAGTGGTAGAGATGTGATTCAAACTAAGGGAGCTTAGCTCCAGACCAAACTAGACCACCTCTCAGAAAAGAGGAAAAAAGGAAAAGAAAGAAAAAAAAAAAAAGCTAAGGAACTTTAGTGCTATCATTTATAGCTGCTGTTACCAATGTTACCAAAGGATTATCCTGAAACAATATTAAGGAAAAGTGCTATTACAGACACCTCAAGCCACACTCTTAGGCAGCAGCAATAACAAAACCAATAAAGATAATCAAAGGTACGTAAACATGAATGAAATAGAGAGATCAAATAGGGAATGAGTTACATCCCAAACAAAAAGCCAAAAAAATCAATTTTATACTATTAAACATACATAAAACTTAATCCCAACATCATTAGTCTTGTCTAAAGCTCCTACAAAATTCACACCGTATCACTATACTCCTTTTTTCCACGTACAAAAAACTGTATCTTGCTAATGAGAGAATGATCCAAAGAGATCATCTGCTCTATACCGATTTCTGGCAGGTCAGGAAAGAAGGTGATTTTCAGCAGTGTTGAAGCTGGCCATCAAAGTCTACTAGAAAAATCTACTCTCAACCGCAAAGTCTATTTGTGCTTACAACTGTGATCAGATAAATACCTAGCAATTGCCACTCTTTTCTTAACTTTCTCAGTGTTTCAACTCTTAATTTAGAGGGCACTGAACACCTCAAAATGTTTCAAAGAAGGTCAGCCCAGTCTCACCAAAAGCTTCCGTCAACACATGACAATTTCTCAAAACAAACACCTGAGCCCTCTCTCTCAGCCAGGAGTAAATCTCCATCTGTGAGAAAGAAACTTGCTGTCTGAATTACTAAGAACCTTCAAGTATAGGCTTGAAGGTTAAATACATAAAGACTAATGGGGAATTTTCTCCATTTCTAGGAAAACCTAAAATAAAGCTACATATAAAGTGTTAACAGAACTAATTTGTCACCTTTATTGTGTATGTAGCAACCTCAGTAGAGAATTCTTAGAGAATAAATAGAATCACTAAGCCAGAAAATAAACTACACACAATATCTCAGATAAATTGCTTAAGTAAGATATAAGGATAAATACAGTAATGATGAAAGTTACTAAAGTATTGTACTAGGACTTAAGAAAACTATGATCTCATTGTAAGACAACCATTGTAAGACAATTCTGATGATTAAAGGTAATTAAGTCCAGGTGAAGTATAAATTAAAGGAAGGAGTTACAAAGAAAATGAAAGACCATATTGGACTTAATTACACAAAAATATTTTAGAAAAATTAAGCAAACAGAGAGTAAATTCTATTTTGATCTCAAGTACTTTCTAAATATTCAAATTTACCAACTCCAGATAGCATATTAATGCTCAAATCATTAAATCTATTAGTTATTACAACTTTAAGACATTCTTCTTTTTCACAAAACAGAAACACAAAAATCTAAAGAGGTAAATTGTTTTTGCCCAAAGTTTTCACTAATGGGAATGGTCTCCAGTAGCAAAGCTGACTGGGCTTCACCATCTCCAAACAACTGAGGTGTCTTCACTTGCATTCATGGATGTTTCTGCAGGTATACTTCTTTTACTGCAAGTAAACAAAACTTTTCAGCAACCAAAAAATAAGAAAACTAAAGGCAAGACAATACTTACTTTTCAATCTCAATCCCAAGCGGATTAGCAGGACGCAGGGACAAAGGAGGAATTCCTTTATTCCTATCCGTGCGCATATCATAATAATTTATTTCATCAACCCAGACAGCAGATTGATCCAAGATACCTAACAAAAATCAGGAGCACATTCTTAATAAAATAAAGGCTCTAAATAAAGGCACCTTGTAAATCTTTCCATATTGCTTTAATTTTCTAAAGACCTACTGCAAAATGTATGCTAAGATAATTTTTAAAAGATGTGATGGCACAACAGCCCAGATTATTTTACAATGGCTGGTAGCTTAATTAAAAACACTAAGAATCTATAAAAAAGGCAAAAAATAACACTTCTTGATTCATAGTTTCATTATCTATTACTCAATAAAGAAGACAATTTAAGTCTCTGAGAAAAAGTTCTGCTAAAATAAGTGTATTTGCTAAATAATAATCACTATTACTTAATTTTTGGGGGGGGTTTACTTAATAATAAGCACTATTTATGCATTATTAAGGAGCTTTGGTAGCATAGTGCCTAAGGCATTTGACTGCTAACCAAAAGGCTGGCAGTTCAAACCCACCAGCCACTCCTCAGAAGAAAGGTTGGGCAACCTACTTCCATAGTGATACCAGCCTGGAAACCCAAGAAGGGGTCACTATGAGTTGAATCCAACTCCATGGCAGTGCATTGTGTTGTTGCATTGCGTTATGCATTATTAAATATTACTGAGTAAACTGGGAAAATATATGCAGGAGGTAGTATATAAGATGCAATGATAAGACCTATAATGTCTGTTTATTCTGAAATCAATAAACTTGGAAAACTGTTGGGAAATACCTAGACACAAAACTTGAATTAAAGATATCTTTAGAAGTCTTAGTTCATGCTGTATGGAAAGTGAATTTGCTCTGTAAATCTTCACCCAAATCACAATTTAAAAAAATAAAAGGAAGTCTTAGTTCAATGAAAAGATTCTTATTTATGACTGTTGAAAATACATTATGTATATAAATTGTATATTTATATTCTCAGTTTCTTCTCCTGGGTAACATAAGCCTGCCTAAGGACTTATATGACTAAAGACAAAAATCAAATGATCTTTAAATGGTTCTTGAAAACACTCAAGAATGTCTTTCATTATCTTTTCCAACATAAACACTGACATATTCACTTTTTTGTGACAGGTCTAAAAAATAATACACTTCCTGCTGTTTCTCAGTCCTTTTACTAAGCTAAATGCTCTAAAAGCAAAAACAGCAGGTTGTTTTTACATTATGCTGGAATCAGTTTGGTAAATTCAACAAAAACTTAGTGCCATCAAGTCAATTCCTACTCATAGTGACCCTAAAGGATAGAGTAGAACTCCTCCATAGAGTTTCCAAGGCTATAAATCTTTAGGGATATAGACTGGCTTACCTCTCTCCCATGGAGTGGCTTGTATGTTCGAACCACCAACCCTTTGGTTAGCAGCCAAATGCTTTAACCACTGCACCACCAGAGCTACTAAATTCAACAAAATATCACAATTCTTCATATAAAGAAAGCAGTCAAACTATATTCTAAGGACTGTTCTGCTTGCATAACTGAAATTACTGGGCTATTCAGGAAAAGTGGACTGGGTGGACTCTGTAACAAGACACAGGATCTGAAAAATCTTGGGTCTTCCTTTATGTGAGCCAGTTTCTTTTCATTTACCTCAGCACAGGACTGTCAGCTTCTTGCCTGAGCTGCCACCAATCAACCAAGAAGCCCAGTACTAGAAAGCATGGAGGAAAGCAACCTAGTCCTGCCTGCAGAAAACAACAAAGGTTGCCAGGAAGAAGAGGGTCTGAGACGCAGATCCTTGTGAACTCATAATCCTCAGTCCCAAATGCAACAGAGGCCTTGACAGAGACAAGGGATGCCATATGCACACACTCCAGATGCTTGTCCTTTCAGGCCAATACACCTTCCCCAAGCCCACTGTGTGTTACATCCTGTACTGGGGCCCGAGAATCAATTTACTACTTTCCAATAAGCATTCTTTATCTGCTGTATAAACATGATATGAGGCTGGATTTCCTCAAAATGTCACAAGTTCCTCTGGAAAACTGTACTTATGATGTGTCAAGGATGATGCTAAACACTTTACATTTACACTGTAAGTCATTTAATCCTAAGAGGTAGGTGATTACTTTTGTTGTGTGCCATCAACTCGATTCTGACCAACAACAACCCTGTATGACTGAGTAGAACTGCCTCATAGGGTTTCCTAAACTATAATCTTTACAGGAACAGATCACCAGATTTTTTCTCCTGCAGAGTGGCTGGTGGGTTTGAACTGTCAACCTTTCAGTTAGCAACTGAGCTCTTAGTGCCAGATTACCCAATGAGCAAGGTAAGTAGGGGTTTACTTGTGCTTACTTACTAATCTGTAGTGAATAATTTCACATTTTTTCACAACTTCAAAGATTCTGCCTTTAGCCATGGGTGGCATCTGTCTTCTCTCAACAACACAACACCTACCTACAGGATCAAAGCCTCTTTTCAAATTTACAGTCTCTCACAGAGGAGGAGTATCCAGTAAGCAAGCTAAGCACAGGCTTACCTGTGCTTACTTAATGTCTAATGAACAGTTTCACAGATGGAATGAAAAACATGAGTAGGTAAACTTCATCCTAATCTATCTGTTTTAAATTTTAGAAAACAAAGTCCATTTTTATTTTCTGCTTTAGAATAAAGTCATGAAAGATGATACCTATTTTTTCAGGCTTCAGTAGCTTGAAAGAGACTGTTGAGGTTCCTTTGCCACCTGACTTGGTTGTCACAATGATGTCTCCTTTGTCATTTTTGGCTTGTCCCACTCGACACACTATTTTACTTGCAGACATCCATTCTGCAGTCAGGAGGCAATTATGTCCACAAATTGTCAAACCTGGAAATGCAAGCACAACATAACAAAGTTCAAAAGGACAGTGATAAGACTTTAAACTTGTCTACTATATGAAAAGCAAATTCTTCTGTTAGTAATACTGAGCTTTTTCATGAACTGAAAAATAATTCTAGAAATAACATTTCCTCATTCAACAGCTATTTTTATTATTGAATATAAAATAATTATTTGCAAATATACTGCTATTTCTATTGATTATTGACACATTAATGTGTTTTTCATCAAATATTTATAACTTCTTTTATAATTATTTTTATGTTTCTTCAAACATCATTGGAATTAGAAAACAATTTATCACAATTACATGTAGGCATTCCAGATTAGACTATGAAACTAAAAACTAAACCAAACTCACTGCTGTTGAGTCGGATACGACTCACAGCAATCCCTCCTTGGGATTCTGAGACGGTACCTCTACAGAAGTAGATTGCCCAGTCTTCCTTCAAAGAGATTAGACTATAAAATTCTTAAATTGTTTTCATAGGTATTAGAAGGGAAACTGCTGTTACTACTAGAAGTCTAAATTACTGATGTAAAATGGTAAAGTATACTAGTAAATTTGTGTATCATTTCTTAAAAATATTCTATATTCGCCTACCTTCCAGAAAATAATCTGTATGAATTTTATTTGTGTTCAGTTTTAAGTTATATTACAGAATGGACCCAATCACAGTTCTATAATCACTAATTCTCTTGAAAACTCTGAACTAAAATGGATCCTTTATTTCAAACATAGCCTGGAGTTTGGTAAATCAGTAAAATGGGCTGTGGCATTACTAGACCACTATCTTGTTTCACTCATGCATGGCAGTTCATATAGTTCACACTGCCTTAGCACCTTCCTGATGACACTGTCATTACACTATTTTTTGTCCTTATACTCAAACAATTGAATATAAGAGAGACTGTCTCAGCTTACTCATGGCCACCACTTTCTGCTGCCCTATAGATAAATTAACGGGTGAAGCACTGAAAGATTCTAGTGCATGAGGCTGTCCCTGAGGATAGGCACTAACACTCCACAGCTGACATATCTAACTTATTTCCTCTGCATTTTCTATTTCCACAGAGCAGCAGCCAACATTAAAAAAAAAAAAAAAAATTATGGGGAAAATAAACCAGAATATATGTGGCACAAAGCACACTTTCTTTTCTCATAATTTAACTTTTTACATTACTCAGCAGTCACATTTGGCAATACTAGTATTTTTTTAGATATCTGAACACTTAAACAAATGCAACATTTGGCTTAAAAAATGGAATGGATTCAAGTTACCTTTTGTTATAGCTTAAAGCACTATAAAATAAGAATGCTACAGTAAAGATGCAAAAGGAATTACAATTTTAAGATACAGAATATTTTCATAAATAATGAATTGTAAGGGTTTCCCTAAAATATTTATTACTTACTCAAGTATGGCATTTTGTTTTTCCTAATAACAACATTTAACAATTCCTTTAAGATTGAGTTTCTTGTTGGTATTTCTTAATGTGTAATTTTAAAAGCATCTATAATTCTCATTTTTTCAAAACAAATATGTCTTTTTTTTTCCAATCATCAATTGTCATAAAAAATTCAAACAATTTAAGAGACTGAAAGCTCACTGGGTTCCTCCCTGCTATCACCAAGATTAAAACCAAGAAAACTAATTCCCTGCCATCTAGTTGATTCCAACTCATAGTAACTGTGTAGTACAAAGCAGAAATGCACAAAAGGATTTTCAAGACTGTAAATCTTTATGGACCCAGTCTGTCTCCTCATTCTCCCACAGAGCAGCTGGTGGGTTTGAACTGCCAACATTTTGGTTAGCAACCACATGCTTTAACCAAAGCACCACCAGAGCTCCTTATCTCCAAAAACCAAAACCAAACTCACTGCCTCCGAGTCAGTACTGACTCCTAACAACCTCTCCTTGGGTTTCTGAGGCAGTATATCTACAGAAGTAGATTGCCCAATATTCCTTCTAAAGAGTGGCTGGTGGGTTCAAACCATCAGCCTTCTAGTTAGCAGCCAGATGCCTTAGGCACTAAACCACCAGAGCTCGCTATCTCCAAGATGAACTAAAACCAAACCAAACCCACTGCCATCAAATTGATTCTGACTCATAGTGACCCTACAGGACATCGAAGAATTGCCCCATAGGGTTGGCAAGGCTACAAATCTTTACAGAAGCAGACTAGCCTCATCTTTTTCTCACGGAGCATCTGATGGGTTCAAACAGCCAATCTTTCAGTTAGCAGCCAAGTGCTTTGACCACTGAGACACATCTAAGATAACCACTGCTAAACCCTTCAAATGTATTTTTGCTCAAATAATTTTAATGCATGCATAAACCTGTCTATGTATGTTCAAAATAAAGGGGAAAGCTTTTAATTTTTAATTTATTTAATTACAGGTAGGATATTTTGACATCATTCCAGGTCAGTACATACTTAATAATATTAAATCCTGTAATAAACATTCTCATGATTTTAAATACTCACTTCAGAAAGGAGAATAAAAACTCCTGGCCCAGATGCCTTCACTGGACAATTCTATCAAATTTTCAGAGAAGAGCTGACACCTGTACTACTCAAAATATGCTAGAACATAGAAAATGATGTAATACCACCAAATTCATTCTACGAAGCAAGCATAACCTGATACCAAAACCAGTTAACTCACTGCCATCAAGTCGATTAGACTCATAGCAACCCGTCCTTGGGTTTTCAAGGTGGTATCTCTAAGGAAGTAGATTGCCCAATCTTCCTTCTGAGGAGTGGCTGGTGGGTTTGAACTACCAACCTTCTGGTTAGCAGTCAAATGCCTTAGGTACTACATCACCAGAGCTCCCAAAAGACACCACTAAAAAGGAAAACTAGAGACCAATATCCCTCATGAACATAGGCACAAAAATCTTCAATAAAATGCTAGCTAACACAGTCCAACACCATATCAAAAAAATAATAAACCACGACCAAGCGGGATTCATATCAAGTATGAAAGGATGGTTTAACATAAGAAAAACAATCAATGGAATCCATCACAAAAATAAAACAAAGGAAAAGAACTGCATGATCATATCAATTGATGCAGAAAAGGCATTTGATAAAATCCAACACCCATTCCTGATAAAATCTTTCAGAAAAATAGGAACAGAAGGGAAATTCCTCAATATAATAAAGGGCAGGTATACAAAACCACCAGCCAATATTATTCTCAATGGAGAAAGACTCAATGCATTCCCCTAGAGAACAGGAACCAGACAAGGAAGAACTCTATCACCGCTCCTATTTAACACTGTATTGGAGTCCTAGCCAGGGCAATAAGGAAAGAAAGGGAAATAAAAAGAATCCAAATTGGCAAAGAAGAAGTAAAATTATCTCTAATTGCAGATGACATGATGCTATACATGGAAAACAAAAGAGATTCAGCGAAAAAACTACTGGAACTAATAGAAACAATCAGCCATGTGGCAGGATACCAGACCAACATACAAAAATCAGTTAGATTGCTCTACATCAAAAAAGTGATCTCTGAAGAGGAAATAAGGAAAAAATATCACTTACAATAGCTAACAACAAGACAAAATACTTAGAAATAAATCTTACCAGGAACACAAAAGACCTATACAAAGAAAAAATACTACAAGAAACTATAAACGGAACAACATGTCACGTTCGTGGATAAGAAGACTGAATATTATGAAAATGTCAATACAACCTAAAACAATCTATACATTCAAAGCAATCCCAATCCAGATTTCATCAGCATTGTTTAAGGACATGGAAAAAAACAATCATTAACTTCCTATGGAAAGGAAAGAGACCTTGGATAAAACACTGCTGAAGAAGAAAAACAAAGAAGGAGGTCTCACACTCCCTGATCTCAAAACTTACTGTACAGCCACAGTAGTCAAAGCAGCATGGTAATGGTATGACGACAGACAAATAGACAAGTAGAACAGAACTGAGAATCCAGAAATACACTCATCCAACTATGGGGCACTGAGTTGTGACACAGGGCCAAAACTCGTTAAATGGGGGAGACATAGCCTATTTAACAAGTAGTCTAGAGTTCTAGTAAGATGGGGGAATAGGCTGACAAGCTACAAAGACACTCAATAAAGAAAAGAGAAACTAAGTGACACACATACAGAAGATAATCCTGGAACCCTGAGCTTTAAAAGGAAGGGTACAGAAGTGGATTAATCACCAACAAATGAATGAAAACCGTGACTAAGGAAAAAATGGAGCTGCGGACTATCAACTACCCTGACAGTGTGGACAGTTTGACTATTTCCAGGTGGTGTTAAGATCTGAGATTTAACCTACAACTCAGCTCTGCTCTCCAAAGGCTGCATGGGCAACTGCACTGGTGGCTGATGACTGAAATGGCAAACAGCAAAGGAGACAAACTGAGCTGTGGACTTTAGGTAGCCATTTTGAATGTTTACAATCAGTGGCCATTTTTGTATTTAAAGCAACAGCATTCACTTTCAGATTCCAGGGACCTAAGAAGAGGCTTCGTTTGCCAAGCACAACACTGACATACTGGTGGTTGATGACTGGAAAGGTGCAATATTCTCTTTGTTATTTGTTACTCTTATAGCCCACACCCTCTTGGTGTATGGAGGTATGGCCATCCCTCACCTCCACCCAACCTTCAGAGCAAGCAGGAATTTGAGCCTAGTCTGTGTACTCTGATGGAGCCTAGGGCCCTGCCCCATCCACCCTCCCCCAAATGTTTGTTTGTTGGTTGGTTGGTTCTTAAATTATTCTTTTTTTCTTCCTTTTAATTTTTATTCTTTCTTTTTCCCTTCCCAGGTTCATGTTGAGCTTTTTTCCCTCTTTCCTTTTCCTGATTCCCATTTTCTTCTTTCTTGTGGCTCTCACCACCCTTTGTTTTTCTTTTGGCATTTTTCCCATTTTCTCCCTCATTATTATCTTATTCTAGCTTTTTTCTCTTATTCCCTTCTCTCCAGATATTGTGGAATATTTTT